CTTGCCCAGAAGGAAGTTATTCAAGAACCTTATAATGATTTGCTCATTTCCTCAGCTTTGGCAAACACATGAAGTCTGTCTCCTACAATTAGCACACATTTTTTTATATTAGGTTGATTGACTGAATACATTCCTAAACAATATTCTTTTTAAAACATTGGCAGAAAAAGTTATAGAAATAGTTTTTTTTTTTTATCTAACTGGTTGCTAATACAGCATAATGTTTTTGTTGTGTATTTTATCTCTCCATTTTGGAAGTTTTTTAATAAATTGAAATTTAAATTGATATAATTGCATACTTATGAATTAATTTACTACAACCCCTAAGTCAATGTAGAGTGAAATTAGTAACTTTGCGAAAACTATTGAACAAAATTTATGTAAAGCAATGAAGAACAGTATTTGAAAGGAGCATGTTTAGAGCTTAAACTAAAAAATATCTCTGACTGATATCTGAAAAATCCAGGTTTTATACTGCTGTATGTAATCACCGAAAACAACAAATGAACGTACAGTAGACGGCACAAATTGCTGGGATGAAGAACATATAATATTTAATATAATATTTACAAGGACCACAGGCTCAAAACATAATGGGAAAAAAAAACTAGAGGGACAAATTGCACAATTTGCCGCCACTGACGGTATGGCCCCAAACTTCATGACAAAGACAATCTTTAAAGATTTTTTGTCTACAGTGGGCTAAAAGTAGCTGTCGATTACCATCATCATGGTACATTTTGCTCACCTTCAAAAAATCTTAAGTTCAAAGCCTGCACTTACAAGGAATTCTTAAGCAGTACAAAACCCATTACAATGCTTCATTGGCTGCTTGTATGTCACAGAGTCTGTGTAAACTCAAATACATATGTAATATAAAAATAGCCTTGGGGCTAATTCCGACGGCCATTCGGACGAGTAGAATAAGAACCAGTAAAACCAGTAACTTCTCGTATGTCTTTCCTTCAACCAAGGTCAGACACAAGATTTTTAGCAATATTTTTGTTGTTACTGTTTAAAACTATACATAATTTAGCCTTTGTAACTTCATTTGGAGCTTCAAGTGATTTCTTTACCGTGATAACAAAACTTTATTACATTCGGCACACGTCCACCGCTAGACGACGCCATGTTAAGTTGTTGTCGCCAAGTAAAGTTTAACAAAAGTTTGTATAAAATTATTTTTCTGTTATTGAAATACAAATTACATCTAATTATAATTTTTAAGTTTGTTTTTAAAACAGTAATACTCACTTAACAAATAATAAACTATGAATTAGAAATACAACATTTGAACGAATATAGTGACATATGTAAAAATGTCGCTTGCTCACTGGCCTACTACAAAGAACTTTTTTTTGTTGCAAGTTTAAACGTCATTTTCTCGTGATCTGCGAAAGTTCTTACTGTCAAACTTTTTTAATGCTTTTAAATATTATTTAAGGAGTTAAATTATTATGAGAAAATTGGAACGGGATTGAACGATCGGGATTGAACGATAGGAATTTTACTCTGGCCCGGTTGTATACAAATTAAGGTCAACTTGTGACATGGGCCCTGTTACATGTGATAAATTACGCCTGGAGGCAGCATGTAATTGAAATATCCACTACAAAAGATGGGTTTTTGGGACAGATGTTTTTCGAATTTTTTATGGCTAGAGGCAAAATTTAATTGCCACGCGTGGCCTCTCAATTGAAAGTACCCAGTAAAACTTTACTCCTCCAAATGGGCCCAGAGATGGATTTCTGGATGTTTGAACTTTTAATAGGATTAAAACTGTAGCAACACACGAACAACAGATGAACTAACAAACAGAACTGTAATAGTGATATTCAACATTTTCATTTAAGAACCTATGTAAATGCAACCCATTCATGAAAATATTTCTAATATAAATAATTTTGTGGTTTTGTATGGATTAACAGGTACAGCACCTCACGCAGGCTGATGAAGCCATGTCAACGAAAGCTTGCTAAAACCAACATCAATCATGTTTGGTCTTACCATAATTGATTAATTATTGATTCATTCATTCATTCATTCATTCGAGTACTAGTTTTCAAAAGTGGTACAGTTACAAACAAACCATAAAAATAGAAAGAAAAAAACACACAAAACAAAGTCAAAAGAAAATTCAATGTAAAACATATAAATTAATGAAATTTTGGAATGAAACTGTCATTTCTTTTAAAGTTAACTTTGTTTTGCTTGGAAGCTCATTCCAAATTTTTGAAGCGCAATATAAGAAAGCTCTTTTACCTTGGCAGATATACCAAGGTAGTACAAGTAAATTCCTAAAGCTGAAACTGAATATTAGAAAAATAGTCTCTCATTTTATTGTAGTCTGGTAAACTTTGGAATAACTTTGCTGATGATCTAAAATGTGCTCCTAATAGACATCTTTTTAAAAGTTTACTTCCATAATTGGTTACTTTTGTTTTTCTCTTATTTTTGTCTGTTATTTTTTTTTTTATCTTCATATTATTATAATTTTTTTTTAACTTCCCCACCCCTCCTTTTTTTTCTTTAAATGTGGTTTTCTTTTTGTTCTTTTACTTTAATATTTTCCTTAATACATTTTGTTACTTTACATATGGCCTTGCATGGCCTTGACGAAAAACACCCTTGGGTGAATCAAGTGTATTCCTGTAAAAATAAAGTATATTATTATTATTATTATATATCATTACGAGATTGGCTACGTGTGCATTTTGAATGATTATGTTAATAATGACGGCAGAATAACAAACGACAAAGTTATTACAATAAATGTGTATAATAAAGATGTATTGTCCCATGCAAGACACCAAAAAAAAATTATTTTTAAAATAAACTTGCCCATTTTGAAGTAACATAAAAATCAAAACTTGAACATAGAAATTAGTGAATTAAAAAAAAAATGTTTACTAATAATTTTACAGCGGAAATGTTTTTAATGACAGGGTACACAATTTTTTAATTCAATAATTTCTATGCTGAAATTAATAATTTGTATGTTACTGCAACAGAAGTTAATTTCAAACTTATTTTTGTCATTTTTAAGGGACAGTACATCTATAAAGAAATTTATTTCACTTTATAATTCAAGGTCTGATATTTAACCTAAGGGTTTTGCGATCGATCTAAAATCAGTCTGCGTCCCAATTTTGTGTTCAGAATCTAGGCTCCTGCCATTTATAAATTTGATTAACATTTCTAATATCCTCTAATGGTATCAATCATTTTTTAATCTGTATCTGAAGCCAAATAAAAGTAGGCTACACTTTTATTATTATCTCATTTCAAAATCCACTATACTTTTTATTATTTTTCCTAAAATTTCTGATTGTGTGCCTTTTCCTTAATACTGAATACGTTTTTACAATTACAACAATGTAAGCGTTATTTTCATCACAATATTCACTATCCCGAAAATAGTTTGATGTATTATGTCCAAAAAAATGTACAGATTAATAGATGTCAAATTTCTATACATAATTTGGAAAAGCCAACCATCAGCACAAATATTTACATGGAAAATCTCAAACCCCCAGAAACCTATAATATGCAGATCTTTAGGAAAAACTTTCTGTCTGGCTTTTCTCAGCTTGTATTCCCAAATGAGGAAGTACTGTGTCAAGGGAGTCATTACACAATAAAATTTATAACAATTGGGTTAGTAAAAACTAACAAAAGTTAGGCCAACGATTCTCCCTAATTAATGCATCCACTCTTCATAAAAAAGACCTGGATTTAGTGTATAAAACTAAAACATACATTGTGTTCAAGCACTCATTATTCATCATTCAAGATTCAAGATAATTTTATTGTTTGAAAAGCTCAAAAATTACATTCCACTGGCAATTCTACAAATGTTAATAACAGCAATAAATAAAAGATAACTAAGGATATAAAAATATGAATCTATGAGCACCAATCAATATCGATTCATAAGATAAAGAGTACATACAAAGAACAGAATATTAAACATAATATTAAACAATCTAATTTGTACTATTGTTTTATGTATATTTTTGCGTATTTTCACCTGGAAATTGAATAAAATAAAATAAAACAAAATAAACTGATCTGACTTAAGCTTTTGTGAAAGTTTAAACAAGTTACAAGGAAGAAATTATTAAAGTTTGATGAAAATTTGCATTTGGGTGTGAATTTGAATCATTTTAAAGGGCTAAGGTCACAGCCTTAAATATCTCTAAAAACTTATCAATCCATGGACCTACTGTACATGACACTTTCCAGAATAGTTTGCCATGTTTCAATGAAGAAATGTTTAAATTTTTGTGACGATCCGGAGTAGGGTGTGGATATGAGGACTATTCAAAGGAAAACGTCCCAGACCAGATATTTCAAAAACTATCAACTGACCTGAATGAAACTTTCGTGGAAGTTATGAGGAAGAAATTATCAAAGTTGGTGACGATCAAAATTTGGGTGCGAACTTGAGGGTCATCAGGACCCAGACCTTTTATTTTTATGGCTGATTAAAATGAACTGTCTTGCCCTGCTTAAATGTACTGTACATCATTGTCATTTGTAGATCTGTAAACAGAGTAACTGCAGTGAGCCTGCCTATGGTAGTTAGCCCAAAGGGAGGGTAGGAGATTACTTGAAAAATCGGGAGAAACCCACCAAAATGGGGAGCTCTTTCTAAAGTATAAACTAAAAAACAATTTTGTACAGTAGGTTTCTGCATCATGTTAAAAAATGAGTGGAAATTGTAAAATCGTAAAAATTAAGGGGCTGCGAAATATTTCAAATTGTAAAATTGCGAGAGACCCACCAAAATAGGGAGCTCTAGCTAATGTATAATCTAAGAAACATAATTGTAGGTTTCTGCATCATGTTAAAAAACTACTGGAGATCGTAAAATCGTGAAAATAAAGGGATGAAAAAATATCATAAAGGGCTTTACAGTATCTGCTTTACACACATCTAATATCCAAAAGAAAAGTGGACAATAACTATGGTAATAAAACTTAAAATTGGATAATTACCTTTCAGCATTTTCTTTAGCGCTATCACTCTGGGAGCACACAAAGAGGTCATTGACATTTAGCGGTCTCTTTGTAGCTTTCCGGAAGAACTCAGTGCACCATGAATACGTGAGAATTGAAAAATATCCGACAGACTCCAAAGGATTTGGCTTTCTAAAAAAAAACAAAAAAAACATTTTATTTTTTGCTGATTAACAATACTGTATGCTTTTTGCCTTAAAAAAAAAATTAAAGTGTCTATATAGATCAGAAGAGAAACTGAAAAATGTCTCCATACATTCAATGTCTATTGTGCGAATTGGTTTGTCGGCCATTATTACATAATGTGATGTTACTATAATCATAACGGCTTCTGATAATTAACATATTTCATGGATTTTAGTATCAGCATTAACAGCGTTGTTGATCAAAGGCTGCGATGTTTCTCCAGTTTGTAGCTCTCTTCTGATCACTTTGACACTAAAACATTATTTTAAATTTTAGAGGCAATCAGAAAGATTTTCAATGAGATGTTACATGACAATGTTTGTTTTTCACAAGAACTTACCAGAAATTGTGATCTAAAGAAGTGGAAATGCCTACAAGACCATTAATTTAATGAATAAAATTATTATGACAATAAATAAATTAATAATAATTACCAGTATAGGACTCTCAGTGTACACAAATGGCTTGTGTGCACTTAAAGAACCCAGTACATCTTTCGAGATGAGTAGGGGGTAGATCAGACACGAAGGGGACACGAAGACACCCTCAGGGGAGAAGCAATACAAGCTAGCCCATGCTTCAAATACTTTGAGCCTCTGGTTAAGTGCTACATAAATCTAACTACATTACATTATTAACAACAATTAGTAATGTTCTATAGATCACACAGTATCACAGGAAATAATGTTACACGACACTCCAAAATGAGAAAGATCAGGAAAATCATAGATGTAATTAATTACAACTATTAATAAGAGTTAGAAATATTATTACTGATTGTACAATATCAAATAATAATTATGAAATCATACATAATAAAATAAACATATTTTCATTTTGAATATTATACGATGCTTGGTAATTTAATAACTAAAAACAGTGTACTGTAATTCACATTTTGTGAACTGAATCTTTAATATGAGAAATGGATTTTACTGTTTTGACTCAAGACCCCTCCAGGTATTATGGTTATGGCTAAGTAAAAATGATAACATTATCATCAATTTATTAAACATTTTCTTAAAATGATTACAAATAATATAGACCTACAGTATAGCACCATTGTAAATATAGAATTATATTACAAGAGATAATTATATAAAAGAGTAGAATTTTTAATTGAATGTTAATAGTGAAAAATCATTACTTTATTGTGTAGCCTAGCAAGAGTAACCTTTGGGTATGTGGTTAGTGAATTTGAAATGTTAATAAGATCACATCATTAATGAACATTATTATAGTAATATATTAGTATTAATAATTGAATAATAAATACAATAAAAATTACAAATTAGAACAATTTTCAATGAAGTGTTAACAATGTTACAAGAACTGTTCTATTGTGTAGGGCTGTAATATAATGTGGCAGGGAAAGGTGTGAGTGTAATGCTTGTAAAAAAACCTGATTAATAACAATACTGGAATGACAATAAAATAACACACAGCTATAATATCATACAACATTTTTTTAGTACATGTTAATGACCAAATTGTGCTAAACATAAATGAGAACAGTTTTCCTGAACAATTATCAACTGAACGGTAATAATGACCACCTATAATTACATTTCGTCACATGATCCTCAAGTATTGCGGTTACAGGTTGAAATGCCAATTAGTCAAAAGCCTTCATAAAAAAAATAAAAAAAACTATCATGCCATTAAAGTAAAACTATGCAGATGACAATTCATATTGTCATTAGTTAGAAATAGGAGGCTACTCAAAGATAATGAGTGAATATTGGATACTTTATATTCCATATTCAATAGACTACAGTACAAAAAGGCATGGCATTTATTATAGGGGCACTCTATAATAAAAATAATAATGCAACATACCTTTGTTTCGATACATTAATTAAACAGTTGGACTACTTATTTTAATAATTCTAAGACAACTAATATTGCAGGTACACGTTTAGATAACTAAACTTCCTATTGTGTTTAAATGTTAGTATACTAACAGAACTTAAGAGAAATATTATTCCAGGGTTTTGGATGTGTAATAGTAATTAACATATTGTACTTCCGTTAAGATTTGTGAAAGATATTAGCACAGTACCAGGGAATTTTTTTAATCATACATTACAAATTTTTATGAACAATTACAGTAGATGTAAGGATTTCTACTTGGAATTAATAACTCAAATGTGACCCAAGCTCACAAAATGGCTGTAAACTCGTCCTCAGGCTAAAATGAGTTTTTGTTATAATGGCATAGAACCTATCATTTACTTTAAAATGACAGTTAAATGAACTCCATCGGGTGTCTGGAAGCAAAGTTATGACCGTTTGAATAATCGTCATCTTATCAACTTTCTTAAATCAAGTTTTGAGAAAAATGCTTTTATTTGCGGCAGGTTTCTATTCATTTTTCACTAGCTCCCATCCGAAAATGGCTAAATTTTACCTCTTACAGTTATAATTTTAAACTCAAACTTTAGGAATAGTAAGATTAATAGTTATACTTTATTTATTACACAAAAACCCAATTTACACAAATTTATAGTTTGCCTATTCTGGCTATAGAGGCTTGTTTCTCAATACAGTGCAGTGCGAGTTTACAGCCCTTTTGTGAGCTTGGGTCACAAATGTTGTTCTGTAAGGCAAATGGGTAATCATTGTTTTAGTAATAAATGTGTAATTTATGCAACTGTGTGGGGATTACCATTATTGCACTCTCATGATACCATCTATAAGCTATCCAAAGTATGGTCATAAATAGAATGAACAATGTCCTCTACCCTTTGAGATAGTAAGAGGTGGCATAGACAACCCTACATATGTTATCTATTTACATTATGTTACATGGCCTCAGTCGGGACAGCTTTACATTTAACAGCGACGTTCTCCATTAACACGTACGCACACAAACAAAAAATGAGGCAAGCCGATTATGAGAGAAGAACATTGTCATAAAGCAGCGTACACTACTGCCAAATATAATAAAAGTTCTCTAGTCCTGCCGCTGGCATTAAGTATCTACCATTGAGTAACTAATGTTACCTTGTGACTTATACAATGCCAGGAGTGGAGATTCCATCTGGCGTCTTTCATGTTCTGTATTAATAGATATTTCGCCTGTAGGCAAAAATGGTAACGACAAAACTGCCTTTTCAAAGTTATCCTAATATTGAAAATAATTTGGCTGGATAACTTGAAATCAGCAGAAGTCCTAATATGCCAAAATTTAGAATTATTTAATTGGTTTTTTTTTTTTATCTTTCTTGAGGTTTCAAGTAGCAATCCTCATACAGCTCAAGAACCTAAACAAATCATTATTTTGATTTATTTTTTGTCATTATTCCAAATTTAGAATTTCATGGATGGCAAATACTGTACTGTTATTTCCACAAGGACCTAAACCTGATACTGAATCTGAATAAAAAGAAAAGTTAATAAACATCATTGATATGAAAAATAATTATTTCAATTAAAAAAATTAAAATAGTTTTTTAATCAATTAATTAATGTTATTTTTATCCATCACATCTAAATGATGATTATACTAATAATAAGTTGTCCTTATATAGCGCGACAATGCTTAAATAAAGATTATACTAATAATAAGTTGTACTTATATAGCGCGACAATGCTTAAAAAAAGATTATAAATTTAATTAACTGCTCTCCTTGTGCTTAAGCTGGAGAGCTGAAATAAAAGTTTCAAAAGTGCACCATGTTTTGGTAAAAAACATTGGTTCTGTGTACAGTACTGCTCATGTGGTACTGTCACTGACACGTGCGCCTCTTCCTAGCGATTATAAAGCACAGTTCTGTTCCCTAGTCATTTGGTCCACATGCTTTAAGTGTTGCTGCTGGTAATCAGTGCAGGAGCAGGCAACCCCACCAGATACCCATTCATACTCCTGGGTAGAGAAGCAATGCAGATAAAGTGTCTTGCTCAAGGACACAAGTGAAATACACAGCGAGGGATTGAAACCCCGACCTCGAGGTTTGGAAACCAAACCATTCCCGCTGCGCCAAACCACTTCCACATGTTAAAGAATGCAGCTCTTCCAAAGAATGTTAGAGAATGCTTCCCAGTGTACTGTCCAATTCACCCCAGAGAAATCCCACTGGAATCAAGTCTTCATTCCGACTTAATGGGTTTTCTCAGGGGTGTTTTATAACCAAAAACTCTTATCCTTTCAAAATATACAAATTCTTTACTCTGTATGTTGGAATTGGATTTTAGAAAATATTTCCCTCACCATTTGGTTGTTTTTTATTTTTAAGTAGGTTATCAGCCCTCCATTGAATATTAGATTTAGAAATTCTGTTCCTTGCCAATTAGCAGATGTAGTAATACAGTTAATATATCCCTTTGCATAGACATTTAAATTGACTAGGATTAACATTTAAGAATTTTTCTTAGTAAAACATTTGTCAGCAAAAAATGAATTATTTTGATCTGTGTTACCTTGAAAGTCATTACTTGATATTATTAAATCAGCAATTTAATGTTGTTATTTGATTTTGACAGTTTCTAGATTCTACAACAGACAGTATATTTAAATTAAGACTTCTACTGTATATTCCAAAAACAATGACATGAAAATCAAAATATAAGAAACTGTTTGAAGTTTGAAATTTTATAAAAGGGAATCCATGAGGATTTACCTATTAATTGTAAGCTGCAAATCACTAATATTTATAACAAATTATGTAACTCAGTTATAACCAGAAAGCAATCAATAATCTTCCATTCAACTATTCATCCTTTTTCCTAGTTTGAAGTACATGTAAAAAAAGGAAAACATATTATGATATTAATGAAATGATGTTTACAGTACATTGACTGTGTGATTTTTTTTCATTTTTATGTTGAATAGATAAGGGTCACGAATATGTAGACCAATGTCCCAATAAATGTCATAGCAATTGTGCACATCAGTTTAGCATCCTCAATAAAATGACATAAAAAATACACTAACATAAAAAGGG